AAATAAACTGAATACAAACTTTAATAATATCTAAGTTAATTCACAATCTAAAGTAAAATAAATTAATTGAAAATCAATTCTTGGTGCCCAAGATACAACACAACAAAGTTGTWGAATATTTACTAATAAAATGTTGAAATACTGTGTGGTGTTTGTCATGATGTGGAATATCCAATCGATGAATAAGGAAAATAATTTTTATGCCTTCCTTCCTTTTTGGAGTGAAAAATTACTATCCTTCAGAGAGATTGGACTCGAGATGTTCTGGGGACAGTTGTACAAAGGGTAAAGATATCCAGCAATAAAAAGATATCTTATGGATGATTTTATCCACTGGATATTAAAGGCTTAATAGCTAGCTGGTGGATAGTGCTATTCAACCTTCATATTACAACTGGACTCTGGCATGACGTGGGTATCTAGACTCCCTGCAGCTGTTTTAATTACATGTAAGAGATGACACTGGAAAATGGTTGCGGGGAGTCTAGTGGATATCCTGATTTCGTAAAAAAAGTAACRACTCAGTTCAATAGCAATAAAATAAAATTTTTAATGAACATGAACATTTTGGATTTTGTGTGCATATTACAGTTAATGGGTATAATATACCTAACATGAACCTTTGTGTATGCAACATTCTCCAACAAATTGAAAACCACTTTACATTGTAGATGGATCAAAATTCTAACATTTCAYTACATTCACTCTGTAGATAATAGTTTCATCTTTTAAAACATCATTGTTCATTTAACACTTTGGATTGCTCCAACACTAATTCTACTACAAAATAATGTAACAGTAACAATAATTTCTTTTTAAATATCAAACTTTGCAAAATAAAAAATATATATCATATATTAAATATAATTTGAAGATGAATTTATATAACAATAAGAAAAACCCTCTTATTTACAATTATGAAAATTGAGTACCTTATAGGAGTACAACACTGTTGATCAATGGTACCTGTAGTTATACCTAATACCATGTAAAACCATGTAGGTTATAAACTTTACTGACAAAGTGTCCAGTAGTTTGAAAAAAACAAAAAAAAAAAACAATGAGCACCTAAAATATAATTATATGGTAATATGTTGAAAGTGTTTTTATGACTCCAAATTATACAAAGATRAAAACATTTGAACTAGTAGGGAGCACTATGAAGGAAAAATGATCAATTCATGGTTTCAGATGTGTATAATGCACTGTTTAAACTGCGTTTATGCGTGATTACATTGCTGCAAACATTCCAAACATAGTTTAGGCACTCACAGTTTCATTCAAACAGATTTAAACTTTCTCAAAAAAAATATACATTTTCAAAGCTAACTGTTAAGAAATACAACCGGTGTTCTAAATATCAACACTTTCTTGCATTTAAAAAAGTATTTTGAATATCAGAAGATAACACAACAAGAAAAAATGTCCTTGGTCTAAATGTAAACCAATAGATCAGTAGTAGTCATCATCACTATAATCACTGACAGGATCACGTAAGGCACCAATAAATGCACCAAGGCTATCAATGAAGCTTGGTCTATCTTGACATGGGCATTTTAGAGTTCCRCTTCTGCCAGCAAAGTAGCACTTGTTGCATTTCTGTGAAAAAARGGTGTAAAACTTAAAGACYAAGTATATACAAAACAAACACGTTTGTATGGGATGTTTTTGTTGAAATTTCTTTGTTTCCTGAGGCCATCTTGTCTGTGCAATGCATTGAGATGAACATTAAGCTCAAAGTGACAGACAACTTATTTAGACAGCTAGGAAATAATATTTCCCCCATCTAGAGCAAACATTATTCACCATAGGTATAAGTTATTAAGTCAACTATTGTCTCTCTAATTATAGTAGTTGATATTTTTTATTTGTAAGCATACTGTTAGCCCTAMCACTAAATATACTTACTTGGCAGTGGTCATCTCTATAATCACCACACTTTTTGCAAATAGAGCAATGGTTTCTGGGCCTATCTTCATCATCATGAAGAGAAAAGGTACACCAGGAAAATCTGTACTCTGCACTGCATTCTGGGCATAAAACAACTCCAACACAAGCATCCTTCATTGATATTTCAGCATCACAGCACGGAGTCCTCTCGATATTTTCCTTAATGAATTTTCCCAGATCTTTCATCTGTGTTATGAAATWAAATGTACTGTAAATATTAACATAGCATTTTTACAATGACTTCTTCTTAAGTTTGCTACAGTTACACTCTCGGGTAAGAAATTTTATCTCTCAAAGCCAGGCAAAATCTCAGGATATCAAACAAGGATGTATAATGGCTTTCACCCTCTTGACCCCCCCAGGGTCAGTAACTGCACAAATTGTGAATACAAAAAAAAAAATATTATGTAATTTGGCATAATAAAAATACAATCATCAAGATAAATACCTTAGCAATATTTTGCATGAGACACTGGTCTTCCTTAGCATGGTCAATATTAATCCCATTATCAGCCAAAATATTTAGAGGGTTTCTACATGCCATGCACTTGCATTCACTCCCACACTTTCCATTCATTTTGAAACAACTGCATCGCTGGGTGTTACATCCAGAGGAACACATACACACTATTTCGCCAGTGATAGAGGAACAAGATGGCCTTCTTGGTCTCTTAGCAGCTACATATACAATCAAGATGTAAGATTCTATATCACTTATACTCTTAAAAGAAAACATTTTTAAAGTCTCCAAACATTGAAWGACAAGACATACCAGGTTGACCACTGAAGTCAGTGACTTTCTTTTGTTTAACCAATGGGTTTTGGCTTTGATCAAGCTTTTTGTCAGGATCCATGGTAATAGGTGTTCTTAATAAAGCATCAAATCTTGGATCAAAAGACTCCAATCTGTATCTCAAATTATTTGAACTGAGCTTGATCTAAAAAGGTAACATCA